CCCCCCCGGCCCCTCACTTCACTGCTCGCTGCTCGCCGCGATTTCGCGCGTTTCATGGGAAAGCTCACCCCCCACCCACGCTTCGCGCGCCGATGGTGGGGCGCGCTCGGGCACGTGGGCGGTGTCAGATCGAGCCACGCCCAAATGCGATGCCCCTTTACCAGCCCGGCGCGCTCGTCAAATGTTTTTCGTCGCGGATTATGACGCGGTCTGCGCGATTATGACCACCTCTCTCTCTTTCTCTCGCCAGCGCCGTCGCTCTCTCCCTCCCTCACGATTTTCCCCTCGGTCCCGCTTACCCCCGGCGCTTTCCGTTCGGTGGCTGGATTTTTTCTTTCCCTCTCTCTCTTTCTCTCCTTTCTCTCTCTCTCTCTTTCTTCTTCTCTCTTTCTCTGTCTCCTTCTGCCTCGTCCCTTCTGTCTTCTCCCTACCTTGTCGTCGAGGAGGACAAACTTTGCTCTTGCCTCAGCCGCTAGCTACGACGTCGTCTCGGACACGCGAAGAGGCGACTAAGCTCGTTCTTTTTCTCACTGTGAATTTCTTCCTGTACATGTGGGATTTTGGAGGCTCCCTCTCTTTCCCACTAACTTTCCGCTTTATGTTACTTTCTTTATTTCGTCGTCCTTTACGTCTCGCTGCCTCTATCGGGTAGCTAACGTATAGTGGCATCGATCGGCGCCGGTGCGTTTTTCTCAGATCAGTCGAGGGGGAGAAAGAGAACAGAAGGACGAAACAAAGACGGTCCATGGTCAGTGTCCAACGGGCTACGGGATTGCAACAAGCGAGAGCGTAACAATGTGAAGACATGAAAAATAACATACGAAGAGCACGCAATGTAATGACGATTATCGTACGAACAATTCGACCACTGAAATTTTACTTCCCACTCCAGACGTTTTATTGTATCATATCGAACTTCTTCAGCAGATGATGGATAAACAGGTTGGATAAAATTCATTGTTACGCAATAAAAAATTATCTTGGAAAATTTTTTGACACGAAGACTCGACAGTTCGAGTGAGTGTGTCTGGTGATATAGGATATGAAAAAATCTCGCATCCGTGTAAGCGTGTGTAACAGCAATAATATTTGGAGAAACCTTATGTATTGCGATTATTTTAAATCCGATATTTTAAATTGAGACTTTCAAAACGATCGACGATTGGCATTGCCAATGCCAATTATCCAACAATGTAATCATGATTTATTACCGCCCTCTTTCTCAACGTAAATCTGAAAAATTGAATTTAAAAAGTACAGCGGAAAGGTGCACATTGCCAATAATTCACCCAAGAAGCAATAAATAATGAAGAAACATGTCCCGCCCCTTTGTTCCAGACGTTTAATCCTCCTGCTTCTCTCTCTCTCTCCCCATATAATTACGATTGAACCGGATCATGGTCCTGCAGACTGAATTCGCTCCGGGCAACAAAAGAAGGATTCCGATCGGCGATCTCAGCGTGACGCTCACTCTTTACGACGCTCCCGAATAATGTGATTCTGGGTATATAATTCCGGTCCGGTGTGGGTAGAAAAGCTCTCGCGGATTTGGCAACACTGTGATGCTCTGGGCGTCTCAGCAACACTCCACGGCGCGAAGGACGAGCGTCGAGCGTTTCACGACGGAGAAAAAGCGGGAGAGATTTCGCTGGGAGGAAAGGGTGAGGGGCGGCACCCGTGAGAGGCGAGACGGGAGAGTGTAGTGGGGGGGAACGTTGACGAGAGCGCGAGAGGGGAAGCGGCAAAGTCACGTGACTCCGTGGGAACGATTGCGGCGGGAGTAGGGACACGAGAGGCGTGGCTATCGCCTTCTCCTTCGTTGCCGCTTCCACCGTGTTAAAACCCAGGACTGAGTGCGCGAGCGAGATAGATAGATAGAGAGAGAGAGAGAGACGGAGAGTGAGACTCGTGACGCTGTGTCGTGCGAATTTTGGCACGGTTCTCGAAAACTTCTCACTCGCGGCATATCGCGGAAAACTCGGTGAAATCTCAACGTGGCCAATTGTATCGCATTACGGCAGTGATGAAGTGCACTCACCGCTCCGGTGGGAATAGAGATATGTATTTTCGGATGGGACGTTGCCAAGCTTACTTTCGTACGGACGAGTTGTGTGACATCCCGTCATCTCCGGAGAGACGAGAGCGTCTACGGTATTCCTAATAATTCTACATTTCTCACCGGTTTTCTTTCTTTTCACAAACAACATCCTCGTTAATCGCGCCAACATTTTGATCGAAAGTTGACAATACGAGAAATTTGTCAGTTCGGCGGTTAAAACCGAGGAAAAGAAGAGCGGAACGGTAGGAGAGGAATTTCCTCCGGCCGGAGCGAAGGTGTCGAACAACGTGGCGACTCAGACGCGAAAATTCTCTCGCGTTTCACGCGAGCGCGAACGCTCAGCCGGTGAAGATTCGAGCGAGCTTCACTAACGACACCTCGCGACGTCGATCGCGCTACCTCCTCCCCGCCTGTCCCTTCCGTACCTATGCCCCCGCCCTCGTTGGAAGGCAGCGACGCGGGGTGGTGTTAATGGGCGTACTCGCGGTTAACACCCTTAGGGTCGGGATGGTGGGAGCACATGCCGGCTCACCGACAGGCAGCGGAGAGTATCGCGGGCGCGTGTGTGCGACGCGTACGGAGGGGATAAGTCAGACGGAGGGAAGACAGGGAGAGGGTGCGAGCGAGACGCGGTCGCTGCTCGAGTAGCGTCGGAAAAGGCGTCGGGTCCAACGCCGCTCGGATTGGCGCCGGAACGCCAATCCGGACTACGAGCGCTCATTATCGCCCAACTGGCTGGTAGGAGAAGGTGCCGCGAGCTTCCCTGCCCCCCACCTCTCGCCAGCTAGCGCTATCAGTCGGCGTCTCCGTCGCACGAACGGTGGCTCGCAGCGGTGGCCGACGGTTGGGGAGGGTCACCCCCACTCCGGCCGGCCGTAGATGATCGTAGGGGAAGGGAGGAGGAGCCCCCGCACGGTCTCAGTCTTCGCGTCGCTGCCCTCCAGCATTCACGCCTCCCGCGTCCGTTCCGCGGCGCAGGCACACCGCGGTCTATATACACGCACGTACGCACGCACACCGGTCCGCGGACCACCCATATACACGCGGCGGCCGCGCATATACCACCGCCCTGAATCCGGACGGAGACTTTAGCACACCAACACCTCCGCGGGAGGTGTGGGGGTGAGCCCCCAGAGGAGGTGTCAATCCTAGCGCTGCTCAGTGACCATCGCGGCGCCACCCAAGTAACACCTTTCGTCCACTCTTCGACCCCGGCTGATCGTCGTCACCATCGTGCTCGCCGAGAGGAGAGATAAAAATCCGTTCCTTTTTATCGCCGTCGTCATCCTCCTCGTCGTGTCGCGTGTCTCTCTGTCACGTTGCTGAACCGTCGGACGCTCGCCCGGCATCTACACTCGTCGTAGATCGTGGACATAGTGTCGTGTTTCCTCGGGACACCCGGGCTGAAGCGACGAAAGACGTCAGCTGCAGGGTAGTAGAGAGTGATCACAGTGAACGCCGGATTAACGTCTCTCGAGCCTAACACAGAGTGGTTTACCAGGCAAGCTAGTGTTTTCGACATGGGTGTGACTCTCATACTGAAGATCTACCGAGCGTCACGGTAGACGTCTCCGCAGTGTACGTCCCGGTTTTAGCGAGGCGTGCCATGGTGAAGACGCGCTGAAGTCCCGTCGGCGTGTCCGGGACGTGAGATGTCGACTGGCGAACTGGAGTCGCGCGAAGGACACGTGGTGGGGTGTCATCAGCGAGACGCTCGCGTCTCGCAGATATGAGGAGCGCGATCGTCGAGCGGTCTAGACACACTCCGGTCCAGCCTCCGGTCCGACGGCAGCAGCCCCGAAAGGTTCTTGAGTCACTCGAAGAGGAATCTCGCGCGACTCGGCACACCCGCCCGTCTCGATGAGATTCGAACAAGACACGGCGTGCAGGGGTACCCACTGCGCCAGCACTCCGCAACCCTCCGCGCTGCAGCAGCGATCACGGCCCGAGGAGGTGGTGGTGGAGGAGGAGGAGGACTCCTCCGCGAAGGACGTCGTCGACGGTCAACGACGTAGACGCAGAGAATTGGAGGCTAACGTGGTCGAGGGTGCGAATACGGGGCCGCGGGCCGAGGCGGGGGGGCCTGGGATGGCGTACCCCGCGCCAGCGACGGCTCTGAATCAGCACTCGCCCTTCGCCAGCTCGATCGCCGGCACGCCACCCGCTAACAATCCCAACGGCCACATAGGTGCCGGCGCACACCTGCCGGCGCCGGCGGCACCGCGACCGACGGACTTCAGCGTCTCCTCGCTGCTGACCGCGGCCAGCACCCATCCGCCGATTTTGGGCGGCTCGTCGTCCCAGGGTAGCGCCTCGCCGCCGCCCGGCGGACCCGGTAGTCCGGCCGCTGCGCCGGAAACCCCGCCACCCTTGCCTACGAGCCAGCGTGAATTGTCGCACCCGTCCTCGGCGGTGGCGGCCGCCAACTACTTCAGCGCTGCCGCCCTGGCGGCGGCCAGTTTCTACAATCCGGCGGCTCACCTGCCGCCGACCAGCTCGCCGGGGCCAACCGCGGCGCATCATCTTCAGAGCAAGGGGATACTCAGCGGCGCGCATCATCATCCGCATCTCAACCCGCACGGTATCACGCCGCCAGGTGAGCAGATCCTCTCCTACGCGAGACAGTGACCTCCGTGTGTGCACGCGCCGAGAGTGTATTCCCCCGGTAGCGGGCGAGTGTGCGTCCCGTCCACGACCACCTCGTCGCTCGCTGATATCCCTTATCGGGGGGGATAATAACGTCGATGAGCGGGTTATTATTCGGCAGACGGACGAACCTCCTTCGGATTCGTTGAGCCGAGTTTAACGAGCCGTTCGGCTTCCTTTTCGGGGGCTATCGATAACCCCTTGATCGTTCAAGGTCCGTCGCGAATAAACCGATAACGTGCGGAAAAACACCGGTCAGGAGAGACGGCGGGTCTTCTCCGAGTGAATCCGTCGCGCTCGAAAATCCAGACCGGGAATTGACCGCCGTCGATGCGAAGGAAGCGGTTTCCTTCAACGACCGTTTCGTTAAACTGCAAACGGACTTGTTGCGTCCCGGCGCCGGTGCTTATTTCGGCTACGAGAGCCCCTACGACCTACGGGAATATTAGAGGCGCGTCGTTTTTTTTTTCTCTCTTCCTTTTTTTTTCACGAGCGCGTTTCACTTTCCCCGGGATTTTCACAACTCGCGCGATTCCCTATCGTTTCCCGCGGCGTCGCTCGCGGAGGATCGCCACGCGCGCCACTTTGACTCGTCGTTCTCGCACAGTCACCTCCGGCGAGGCGGCGGCGGCGAAGTCAAGTTCCTCTGCGAGCGATATTTCTGGCATCGAGTTTCATTTCCACCCGCGTCGAGAGCTCTCGATATTCCCCCCCCCNCCCCCCCCCCCCCGTTTCTTCCTCCTTTTTTTTATTCCACACAAATCGCGCTCCTCGGTATTTCGAGAACACGTACGTACGTAAACACGAAGCGCATTTTGTTGCTCTGGCGCGTTGCCATTGTCGCGCCGGAAGCGCGCTCGTTTTTCGAAAAGGACACGTTTGTGACACGCTGGAAGTTTCTCGTTTGTCACTCACCGTCGCCGTTTCGTGGATCTTACGCAACATCCCACCGATCGGCGGTCTGGCGCGCACGTCAAAGCGCGCGACGGCTGGGAAGAAGAAGAGGAACGGCGCGACGAAATATTGCGCGTTTCGTCCGCGGAGGACGAGCGCGTTTTCGAGCTTTTCCACGCGCGTCTTACTCTCCCCCCCCCCCCCCNCCCCCCCCCCCCCCCTCCTTCTCGCCGTGTGTGATAACTGCGCAATATTAGGCCGATCCGACGCGCCCGACGTCGGCCATTGTTAATTTACGCGAGGATAAAGCGTCGGTCCCGTCGTTGTCGTTGATATTAAAACGCCGCTAATTACAGACAGTTTATTACCTTGTTTGCCGAGTCGTTCGGTGCCATTACAAAGATTAGCGTTAATGTCGCGACATTTGATTGCGTGCGGCCAATCGTCCGCTAATTGTTTTACCAATAATATTTGTCCCGCGCGGAAAGTGTCACCGACGTTGCCGACATCGGCTAATCCGTCTTCTCTCTCTTCCTCCCCCTCTCCCTCTTTTCGACGGACGATTTCCCGACGAAGTCATCGGAGTCGGCGATAGCTCGCTCGACACGTCCCCGTCGCGTCTCTCCCGTGGACGGGGATATCCCGACAATGATAGTTGCCGTGTGCCTCGCGCCGGGGGTTAAAATTTGCCGTGCATCCGGGAACAACGGATATCCTCGCGACTGTGCCCTCACCCGGACGTCGTTCTCGAAAGGTCAACTCGCGAGTACGCTGGAAGCATCCCTCGCCTGGCGACTCGCACGTCACCGGAACATAATTGACCCTCGACTTTCGTCGCGCTAGACGCCGGCTAAACTTCTCCCTTTCTCGATCCTCTCCCGGTCGGGGCTGAGGACATACAACGAGCCGCTTTCCACGGGACGAAGCCGATTCCTTCAGCCGACTTCGGCCTCGATATCGGTTGGCTTCGTGCATCCGAAGGAATGGTAACGCGGTAACGCGCGCGAGTGTAACGACGATAACATCGGGAAACGCGGCGTGACTCTGACGGAGTTCGGGGGAGGAGGAGAAAACGCAGTCGGTGTGCGGACTGGCGATACATTGTGACTTTGCCGGCGATAATGCAATCGATCTGGCATATCTCCGGCGGTTAAGCGAGCGGAGGGCGCGCGGAGCGCGGTTCCTCCTCGACGTTCGAGCTGCGCGTTGTTTCGCGCGTTTTGCATTTTCCGCTCGCCGTGTATCGCGGCGGGGGGTGGTAACGAAGCGCGAATATGCGCAGAGCGGGGATTTTTCTTTTTTTTTCTTTTTTTTTCCGGAAAAATACCCCTTCGGAAAACAGAATGCCGCGCGCGCGCGGATTAAGCGTCGCAGCGAGAAGCGCAACGATTTCGGTAAATCTCCGGGAAATTCTGGAATTGCCGCGGTAGAGTCGCGTAGAAACAGAGCCGAAAATGTCGGCTTGTCGCGCGCGGAGTAACGAGGGTTGAGCAACGCGCGGCGCGCGAAGGGTTACGCTTCGCGTTTTACTTTGTACGCCGGCGATAATAGCGGGACGCGCGCCGTCCGCAAATGTCGTGCCAGGTGCGCGAAAGAGGAGAGGAAGGAGAAAAAGGGAGAATGAGAGAGAGAGAGAGAGAGAAGGAGACACGGAACGGGAGGAGGGAAAAAAGAATCGGAGGAACGATTTCCAGAGCCGGCGCGACGTGTGCTCGTCGCGCGTCGTCTTATCTGACATCGCATTATTACGCGCGTCCACCTCATCCGCTACAACTAGTTATTCCCTTCGTTAGGCTAAATGATGAATTAATTCCCGACGCCGGTAGACACGCGCTCGCCGCTGCCCCGTCGCCAACGTTCGTGGCCGCGCGCTGGCAGACGCGACGCGCCGTGTGTAGGCGAGCACGGCTCCTTCTTTACTTATTTATAATAGCGCGTTATAACCGGCGCGATAAATCACACGCTGGAAAATTACCCCGGCCGAGAGGAGAAGCCGGGGTGAACGCGAGCACCGCATATAAATCGTCATTTATGCCCGTGTCCGCGATACTCGAAACTGATACACGCTCGGAGCGCTCTCTCGTTTTTCTCCGCGTCTCGGATTCCGGAAGCGCGCGGTGAACGACGCGACTTCGCTTCTCTCGCGATCGAACTTCGCCCCGAGACGATTTCCCTCGACGAACAAGCGCGCTTCTCCTCGGACTTTCCGGCCCGAGAGTGCGGTTGCTCCCGAAAATCGGAAGACGATCAGCGCCCTCCCGCTCGGTCGGAGCGGCGACGATCGAAGCGATGCCGTCGCGTCTCTCTCGTCGGCTCGGCATGCAACGCTCGCCGAGCGATCCGTCATTGTTATTGTTCCTCTTTTTCGCTTTTTCCTCTTTCGCGCGAGCGCGTCCTCTTCCTCGTTTCTAGCCAGGCTCGCGGCCAACTGACCATAAGGTGCCGGTGATTAATCTCGCCAAGGGCGCGCGCTCGACGTTTCTTGCATTCGAAATTCGGAGCGTGTGTACGCGTACGTCATGTGTAACCTGAACGGAGAGAAAACGACCGGGCGAGCAGGGAAAGAAGGACGAGTGGGAAATGTATGTAAGAGAGAGAGAGAGAGAGAAAGAAAAGAAATTGTGTGGCAGGTCGTGCGTTTTGTCACTGCCGGATATGCGCGACGGAGGAGAGAGCGACGACGCAGAAGACGGGGAGCAGAAGCGTGTATCGTGATAGCATCCTGATTGAACGCCGAGTCCGAATCTGCAATAAGTGTAGTGAGTCTCTCGCTGTAAGCGCTGAATTGTACGTAATTTCGATCGAAAAGCGCTACCAGACGTCGCGATTCCTAAGATTTAAGGGGATGCCATATCTGGACATTTTACTCGCAGAATGCTGATCTCTTCTGTAATGTTTACGTCTCATTGGCTGCACAGAATTGCAAATGCTCTTGCTCGGTGAAAGTACGCGCGAAAATGAATCGGAGCATTGCTCGGTATGTGGCGAAAATGATGAAAAATTTCCAAGTGACATCTCTGGCTGTCTGTTGGCGGAAATATTTATCCGATACAGACGTCTCGCGGTCTTGTATGCGCCGAATGTGTCAATGCTCCAGTCGGGAAAATTTCAAACAAACGTTCCTCGACCTTTTCCCGTGAAATTTAGAGACCTACAAAAGGTACGAAAAGTTTGCACGATATTTGTTCGCTCATATTACTTAGATTTTCTATGGTATTTGGTGGAACAAATTGCACGGTAAAAAATTTGGTGTTAAATTCGTAGGGATGCCATATTTTCTGCAAAGTTTACGTTTTATTGGTTGCATAGAATTGTAAATGCTTTTGTACAGTGGAAATACACGCGAAAATGAATTGGAGGACTGCTCGATATGTGACGGAAACGATAAAAAATCTCAAGATTGACTTCTCTAGCTGTCAGTTAGCTTGAATATTTGCATGACATAGAAATCATGCAGCTTGTATGTACAGAATGTGTTGATGCTTCAATCAAGAGAATTTAAAAAAAAAAAACATCTTCATGCAATCTTTACACAGTCAATTTCAGAGATCCAAAAAGATGCAGGAAAGTTTGCAGGAAAATTTTTACATGTCCTGGTTAGATTTTCTGTTAGATGTGATAAAATAGAGTAACGCATATTCATCGCATTCACATTTGCATCGCACTTATATTTACGTAAGATGTTATCGTGATCGTGTCAGTGTTTATGTGACATAACATTTTGAGGATCGCTTCTACGTTATCGACACTTATCAAGTTCGTTAGCGACTGTGACATCCTCTTAACACATTTCGCATGTCCCAAACGGTCCACACAAATTCTTGTGTTAATATAACACAAGATGAATATATTGAAAAGTAATACAGATATTATGACAAAAGTTGACACAAAATTAATACGTTAACCGATAGTGATGTATAAAATATGTTATTTCAGCACTTACACATGATAAATATTAACGCAAAATATTGAGACAACGTAAGCACAATATGTTAAATTAACAAACGGGTGTATTACAAATTTAACACAAGAACTTTGACAAGGACCGATTTTGAA